ATTAGAACCCAAAAATCAGGGAGTCACTGAGGCTGGAAAAGCTCTCCAAGCTCATCGAATCCAAGCATTAACCCAGCACTTCCAAGCCCACCACTGAGCCACGTCCCCACGTGCCCACATCTGTTGAACCCTGCAGGGATGGTGATGCCACCACTGCCCTGGGCCCTCTCCCAGTGCCTGCCCACCCTTTTGGTGATGAAATTCCTCCTAATTTCTAATCTGAACCTCTTCAGGCACAACTTGAGGCTGTTTCCTCTCATCCTCAGAGGGAACTTGCAAGAAAGGCTTTGTAAAGGTGGCACCTTCTTCAGCACCAGTTGGTTCAGTGTTTACTGTGGGGTATTTTTTTTTTTTTTTTTGCTGATAGAAAGTAGATTTAAGCTTCTGCTTAATGTCACAGATTCGCTGGAAGTTTTGTTTATCAAAACTGGGTTCTGGAGATGTCTCTCAGCATCGCTCCAAACCAGGCTTGCTTTTTTCTCTCTAGATTATTCTTAAAACTTGGCTTTTGAGTCAAGTGCTTGTGGATGTCTCCATGTGCCAAATTGCAAGGAGAGCTCTCAAATGAGCTTGAGCTCGAAGGCTCAGGGACCAGCAAGGCTCCAGGGGTTGTTTACACAGAAAATTCATGGGTTTTTTGGGTGCTGGGGAGCAGATGTACAATCCCATCTGCTGAGCCACCAGCAGAACCTGCTGCAGAGGGAGCCACGTTTAGACTTTGAGCTGTGTGTGGTGCTTCACTGGGGCTTTCCATATTGCAAATCCCAAGGGATTGCAGGAAAACTCCTTTGCACTGGTGGGTTGTGCCCCAGGCTGGAGCCCTGGGCTGTTATTTCAGTGTCTGAAGCACCTGGTACCTGCCATGGGTGGCTTTTGGCTTTCAGTCCCTGAGCTGGGGACTCCTTTATTGAATCACCTGCTTTTCTCAGATTTGCAATCTCCAAAAGCTCAGTTTTTGTGTTAGATGGGGCTGACAGGGGCCACAAGCGACGCAGACCGACAGATAAACACACACAGTGGTTTTGTCCAGGAAACAAAGCTAAAAATAGTAATGATTCATAAAAACACTGTGGAAAATACTGGTTTTCTGGTGCATGGAACAGGTACCATCCAATTTTGTGTGCTATTAAGCTGCCCCCACATTTGGAGCTCCTGTGCAGATGATTTTCTCCCTGAGCCGACGTCTGCTCTGGCAAACTGGGGGATTTTATTTTGACAGAGAGGCACTTGCTTGGCAGTTCCTATTGAACAGAACTGATCTTGAGGTTTCCAAATACTCTTTTCCTTAAAAAAAAAAAAAAAAAAAAAAAAAAAAAAAAAAAAGCCTTTTAAGTGTGTTTGTGTTTGGGGAGAAAGCCAATCTTGTGAGCTGGACTGTTGAATTCTGGAGGGAAGGGGGATCCTGGTTCCTGCATCCCACTGCAGCCTGCTGGGGTGGTTCTGCTGCTTATTTTGGTGTTAGAGCAGTGCCATGCTCAGGATTGCTGGTGCTCCCTGCAAACCACTCACTGACCTTGGCCCCAGAGGCTTGGAGAGGCGAGTGCTTTGCATGTTGGAACAAAAGGAGCTCAGAAATTTGGCCTGATCCAGTTAAAAACCATGAAATCGCCTGATTTCAGCCCAGGATTCATTAAATAACCATCAAGTCAGCACATCCCCCCACCTCTGGGTGCTGCAGGTGCAAGTCCTGGCCATGGCAATTCCCATTTCCCATCCCTCCTCCTGGTGCCATCATGAAATCCATGTCTTATTCAAGCTGCTGTTGTTGCTTTCTGCTTTCTTGAAAAGAAAACCCCAAAGAATGTTAAACCCTGCCTGCGCTTTGGCAGCTGGGAGGCACGGACAGATTGTGCTTCAAAAAAATGGCAAAGTTTCAAAATATTGTGTTCTGTCAAGAAGAGACAAGGAAAATAAACTCCCCAAAATGCAGATTTTATTTCCCTGGGAGGAAAGGCTTTTAATGTTTATTTGGGTTTGGCCTTTTGCTCCCTGGTTCTGCTGACACCGCTCGTGAGCCACGATAAGATTCAACGCTGCACAACCTGTTCTGGGCCCAGTTCAAATCAGCTTCATTGCCAGTAGATTCATTTTCCCTCTCCCACAGCAGTTCCTGAGTCTCAGGGACAGCACATGGGGTGGTGCAAGCAAAGCCACGAAGGATAACATGGAAAAAAGGGAATAACTGAGCAAATTTGTGCCTATTTCTTTGACTTGGGTTGTGCCACTGTGACTGCAGCAGAGTGAATCCTCTGGAGGAGCTGCTGAGTGTTCACAGGGACACTTCAGCTCTAAAAGAAGCAGTTTCTCCATAGGCAATTTGGTGGGTTTTTGTGTCTGCTTTTCCACGTGCAAAATCAGTTTGAAGATGCTTTTCCCGTTCTTGTGCTTTTCCTTGAGGATGCAGAGAGGTGGCTGGGATGGCAGCTTGGAAAATGCCAGAGGAGCAGGAAATTGCTTTGCCTGCCCCGCCAGACCTGTATTTTTGAGATTCCTTTTTTTGGGTAGGGTGCCAACATCCAGAACAGCTCTCCCCATGAAGATCCCACAGGGCTGAGGTGCACTTGGCACAGCCTGGGCAGGAAGTGGGATCTGGAGCATCCAGCACAGCAGGGCTTGCTCCTCACTTCTGCCTCCTGCATACAACCAAAAAACTGGAAGGAAAAGGGTCAAAGAGCAGCTCTGCTCACTGGAAGAATTCCTCCACTGGTTTTTAGAATCCTTTTTGCTTCCTTACACACCTGTGGGAATCCAGAGCTTCCCTCTGGCTGCCCTGGCAGGCCTGGGACCCTGGCAGGGGTCAGGAACCCCCCTGGACAGAGCCCCCAGAGACACTATCTGTGATCTCTGTCCATGGAAAAGAGTTTTCAATCTTACAGGATGAATTACCAGCTCTGAGTGTTTGATATAAGTAATAATTAAGTGTGGCACGGGTGCAAAAGTAAAATTTTAGGATTCTAGATGAGGGGTCCAAAGGGGACAAGATGGAGGAAATTGGGTGTGCCTTGTCCTTTTTCTCCTTCTTCATGCCCTCCATGTTTCACTGTGGTGTTGGCATTTTTCTGTTGGTTCAGGCTGGGGACACACTGTCCAACGTAGGTGACAGATATTGGCACGTTATTGTAAATCCAGCACAGGTAGTTTGTGGTATTTAATGTTTGTACCATCCCACTGAGGGCAGAGCCCCACACGCTGCCCTGCAGGACAGAGCTGCGGCAGGGCAGCAGAACATGTTAGAGATAAACAGAATAAACAACCTTGAAACCAGCACAGACGAATTATGGCTTCTGCTTTGGCAGCGGGGCTGACAGACAGAGACTTTCTACAATCTCGGGATCATCAATACCTCAGATTCCAACACACACCAGCTTTTACTTTTTGGGAACACTCAGAGCTGTTCTTTGTGCTCTCCATGACCTTGCTGCTTTTATTTTGCTTTTCCTGTGTGAGCTTGGGAGAACTCCTGGGAGCAGAGAATTGGCTTTTTTTTTTTCAATTTTTTTTTTCCCTGTATGTGTTCACATCTCTGTTGATTTCTAATCCCAGCAGTGAGTGTGCACAGGGGTTTCCAATGAATGCTCTTCCCATGAGGTGTCAGCTGGGTTCTTGCAGCCTTTGTCAAAAGGAGAGGGCATGATCCCATCTTTTGGAGCAGATGAAGGAAAAAAAAATACAAAAAAAAAAAAAAAAAACCCACTAAAAATGAAAAAAAAAACCAACCCACCAAAACCCCAAACAAACAAACAAAAAAATCTTGGAAAAACCCCAAACAAAAACAAAACAAAACAACAAAAAAAACCCAACAACAGCAACAAAACAACCCAAAACCAAAATCTCTAAAAAAAATAGCTAATCTGAATTGATTAATTGATTCATAAATGCAATTTTCCATCCTGGATGCCTGCCCTTTGATCCAGCACCCCTCTGGCACTGGGATGCACAGGCACACCTATTGATGTGTCAAAAGGAAAAACAAATTCAGACTTGTATAGGTGAAGTTTGAGAGAGAGGGTTGGGAACTGAGAGTAAAACTCCTGCTTAAAAGAAAGAGTAATTAATAGAAATTGATAGATTAAAAATGCTGAATACCTCAATGAGATACAGAGAATGAAACTCCTGCTTAAGTGAAAGAATAATTATTAATAGAAATTGTTAGATTAAAAATGCTGAATACCTCAATGAGACGCTTGTGCCTTTTTCTGGAGGGGGTGGACCAGGGATTTTATTACCCAGCCAAGCAGGCAGATGTTTCCCTTGGGCTTTGGTGACATGAGTGATGTTTCCAGGTTATTTTCTCCATGGATTGGAGCCCCCGTGCTGAAATGGGGCTGGATCTGTGCAGTCATAAAAAGGTTCTTGTGTTTCTCTGCTCTGCCTGGCTCTCGTGGCTGCTGGGCTGGACCCCCTTTCCAGGAGAGCTGCCTCACATCTTGAGCTGCCTCCAGCTCAGAAAAGCTTGGCTGGTCAGTGTGAATAGAAACAAATGGCTTTGAAGCCTGCAAACTTGAATTCTGCTTTATTTTTGCTGGGTTTGCATAACTTTAGTGACCAGGAGATGAAACGTGCACTTAAACAGAATCAGTCTGCACTTTCAGATGTGATTTGAAGGAGATGTTTCATCCTGCCAGGGTTTGAAGTTCTGTATCTGGAATTGTTTTAAATCTGAGAAGTGTTTGAAGGGATCCTATGTGGGTAGGAGGAGAAATACCTCTCCCTTTGCATGTTCTCGTGGCCTGCCTTTGCCAGAGCTCTTGCTGCTTTCTGGCCCGAGCTGGCAGGCAGAGCTCGCAGGTTTTAATGAAACCTTGCTGAACAAAGACACTCTATGTTTGAACTCTGTGCCCCGAGTCTGCCCCACCAGCCCAGGCTGGGCATTTCTGCTAAATGAGGTCAACAAATATAGACAAGCTGTGTTTAGCCAATTAACCCCAAGCAAATCATAACAAACAACAGCAGCCAAAAAAAGTGCCTTTCTTTAAGTCTGCATCTTTCTTGTTTCACAGGCAAGAAGAGAAACCCTGGGCTGAAAATTCCTAAAGAAGCTTTTGAGCAACCACAGACAAGCTCCACGTAAGTCTGCAAACACTGAGGCAGAGTGAAAAGCAAACCACGAAGCCCAAGCTGCCTTCCAGCCTTGGCTGGCACCTGGCAGTGCCCAAGGCCAGGCTGGATGGAGCTTGGAGCGCCCTGGGATAGTGGAAGGTGCCCCTGCCCATGGCAGGGAGTGAAATTAAATTATATTTAATGTCCCTTCCAACCCAAACCATTCTGGGATTCTGTGATAATTTCTCAGCCCTCGCATTTCCCAGGGGGTCTCAGCTCCATCTGAGATGTATCATTCAGTCTCATGTGCAGTGAAATATAAAAAGATAAAGACCAGAAGAAAAAGATAAAAAGATAAAAACCATAATGGGCCCCCAGTTTCCACTGGTGTGGCACTTTGGCCACCAGTTTGAGTAGCAGGCATTTGGTCAAGGCACAAAACCTCATCCCTTTCCCTGCCTGCTCAGCCTTGCAGAAGGAATTCCTCTGTTTTTGAGGCCCTTTGTGCAACTCCAGCCTGCTTGGCTTTCTTTGCTTCTGTGGGCTGAGTGTTTTTAGCCTGTCAGCCTGCGCTGTGTGACTGAGGTGATGATTTACAGCAGGTTTGGATGTTCCTGCCTGTTTAATCCATTTTTCCTGCAGGCTGGCAGAGATTTGGTGCTTGATTTCACAGTGAATCCCTCTGGGATCCTGCAGGGGCAGGTTGGGTGTGAGAAATGCCAGTTCCAGTCACTTTTTCTCTTTTTTTGGAGTGACTTTGTGGATCTGTTGATCCTGCAAAGCCAGGAGGCTGCTCAGAGCTGTGGCGAAGGTGTGAGGGGATGCTTTGGGGGCTGGATTTAGTCACTGAGGGAAAATTGATCTTTGTAGGGAATATTTCAAATCTTCTCCCTTTTCTTTCATGCAGACCACCCAGAGATCTGGACTCCAAAGCCTGCATCTCTATTGGTGAGGAGGTAAGACTGAGAGACCTCTGGGACCAGAGACCATCCTGAGCTGGCTGCTTGTGGGATTCACTTCAACCCCCCCAAAAAGGGCAGAGGATTAAACCCCAGCTATTATAATTAACACAGCCCATTTTATCTGCAAGAAAAAGCAATGGCTGGAGGAATAAAAGCTGAGAAGATCCAACTGGGGAGCTCATGGGGGCTTGTGAGCCACATGCAGCCATAAATATCCAAGCGGCACCTGGTGTTGGTGCTCCTGCAGCCAGGGCTGTGTGGGTGGGAGCCCAGAGTGGCCCCGTGGCCAGCTGGAGCTGCTGCTTGGCACTGCCCTGCTGACGTGCCCCCATGGCACATGGGCTCCCTTCATATTTTCCACCGTGGAAATTCCTTCCTTGCTGCACTAAGGTGCAGCTAATCCCCTGGAAATAACCATTATCAGGCAAGGGGGTTGTTAACAGAGGTGTTTTATTGTCCTCTGCAGTTCCTCTGCTGATTTAAGGCCTTCACCCCAAAATATTTCTCTTTGCTGATATTGAAGGTCAGTCTCCTCAGGAGCTGAACTCAGGGGGGATGTTCCTGCCCTGGAAGCAAATCATTCTGACAGCATGGAAACCAATCCTCCTGGATTAAAAAAAAAAATATCAGGGCAGTTATTTTGATAGGAGAGAAAGGCAGAGCAGAATTCAAAAAAAAGCACTTTAACTGTGTGAGGTGCGAAAGATAGGTAATTTATGCAGTGAAATGCTAAACCAACAGTGGTTTGAAATTCCTAATTTTGGAGGCTTTGCTTTCATTTTGGATTTTGTGTTCGGAGCAGGGGCTGGGAGGTGGAAACATGGTGCAGCAGGGAGGCAGAGCAAATGCCTGCTCCAAGAAAATCACCTGTCCCTGCAGTCCCAGCGGTGAGGGGAGGCTCCAGGACTCCCAAAATGCCCCAGGAGCAGTGAGGGCAGGCTGGGTGGTGCAGAGGGAACCCCACTCAAAGCCCCATTTGAGAGGAACCCCACTCATGTCCCCTTAAGGGGAACCCCACTGACAGCCCCAGAGGAGGGGAACCCCACTCACAGCCCCAGAGGAGAAGAGCCCCACTCACAGCTCTTAGAGGGGAACCCCACTCACATCCCCCAGTGGGAACCTCACTCACATCCCCTAAAGGAGAACCTCAGAGGAGGGGAACCTCACTCAGAGCCCCAGGCTGTTCTCCAGGCACTGTTCTCCAGCTCTGTGCTGCCTCACAGGGACTGGCATACTTTGTTTTGCATTTCCCCTGGCTCTGTGACCTGTTTATGCAGGTTCCTTTAGGATGGGCACCAGCATTCCCACACTCCCCCAATCCCAAGGGGAAGGAAGCCGCTTTCCCAAGGCTGGGAGTTTATCCCAGCTGGGGAAGGAATGCACGGGGGGAGGATGTGCCAGGCAGGGCTGCAATTGAGGGGCAGCAGGGCTGCAGGTGGGGAACAGCAGGGCTGCAATTGAGGGGCAGCAGGGCTGCAGGGCTGCACTTGGGGGGCACAGCTCAGCTCAGCTCAACTCAGCTCAGCTCAGCTCAGCTCAGCTCAGCACAGCTCAGCTCAGCTCAGCACACACACCCAGGCCCCTCTGCCGCCTTTTGTCCCACAGAACTTTGAGGTGAAGGCCGATGACCTGGAGCCCATCTCCGAGCTGGGACGAGGTGCGTACGGGGTGGTGGAGAAGATGCGGCACATGCCCAGCGGGCAGATCATGGCAGTGAAGGTAGAGTGAGCCTCGGGGGCTTCTGTCCTTTCTGGGGTGCTGGGCACACTTGCAATCCCCCTTGTTCCTTTCCTGACATTTGCTGCTTTCCTCATCTTCTTTCCAAAGAGGGAGATTTGGGTGGTTGAACCAAGAAAAGGGGGGTGTTTTAAAAGCGGGGTGCTCCAGCATTGTAGTGCATCAATCACATTGTTCACCTTTATCCTCAATATTCCTCTTTGCCTAGGATTCAATACACCATCATTTTAAAAATACACACATAAATTTACATATTTTTACACATTTTAACATATATTTACATATAATTTTACATATATTTTCTGCTGTAGCCCCTCAGATTCACTTCATAATTATAAAGAAGGATAAATCCAATTGCACAAGAGACTCTTCTTCATCTGGGACTTTTTCAGTCTCCTTGGAACAGGAAGTTTTTGTTGGGATTTTCACGTTTTGCCTGCCGCAGTGGGATCTTGACTCATGGCAGGCTTGTAGATACTATCATGAAAAGTTTTCATAACAACAGCTTAGACTCATAAATTTGAAGATTAGGGAAATGGTCATGGGAAAAACTGTAGTTTGGGAAGGACCAGCTTTTGCTTGGCTGAATTTTAGTTTCCTTTCAGAGTAAGAGAAGAAGATCTGGAAGCTCTGAGCAAACTCTTTGCTCCTCAGTTGTGGGTAGATTTTGCTGTGGATGCTGGCTGGGCCAGGTCCCAGGACCTCTGTGCTCTGCATTTGGTGGTTTTGTTTGCTTTGGTGTTCACCAAACTGCCAAAGACCTCTCTGGGGGCGATGGAAGATCTCGGCCGGGCGTGGCGGGAGCATTCAGGCTCTCTGTGATGCTGAGTTTGATGCTGTCCCATAACTGACCTGGGGTGGCTTTGGCCAGGGAGCCTGGGAGGTGTGTGTGACCTGCTGTGGTGTTTGGCAGCTGAGGTCTCCTGATATTTCACATCGAGGACATCTCTTCCTGGGAGAGTGGGAAATGCTCTTTTTCCAAAGCCATGGGGAACCCACGGGCTCTGGAGCGCTCCTTTGTGCCAAAACCTGCTGATGGAACAGAATTACACTCCAAAAATCCCAGCTTTCCACCAGCCTGGAATTTGATTTCCTGCTCCTTTCTCCTCTCCAAGCCACTTCTTTCTTTTGGCTCTTTCATAAAGAGTGGTGTTTGCAGAGAAGAGCAAAACCACCAGTGGTGAGAAAACCCTGGGGTGCTCCTGCACCAAAGCTTAGAATTAAACACAGGATTTGAAATGAGACCTTGGAAAAGTCTTCCAAACTAAATGCTAGATGTGAGAATGTGGATTAATAGTTTAAAGCAGAGAGGTGTTAATTAAGAAGAAGAAAGTTTAGAGTTTCAGAGTTTAAGATATAAAAAAAATAAAAGTAGTTACAAAGGTGAACAAGGAATTTAGAATGCACTGCTGTAGGTTTGTGTGCCATAACATGATTGGCTGAGAAAGCTCACACTGCAGCATCAGTCTGTAAGAGGAAATATTTAAAACATAAATATCCTTGTAAATATCTCATGGGTGCTGGGCTGGGGATGTGCCTGTGACAAGGGTGGTGACAGAGGGGTGGCACGAGGGGTGCTGGGAGGGTCCAGGTGTGGTGCCAAGGCTTGGGGCAGACCTGACCTGCTCTGTCTTGCAGCGGATCCGAGCCACGGTGAACAGCCAGGAGCAGAAAAGGCTGTTGATGGATCTGGATATCTCCATGAGGACGGTGGATTGTCCCTTCACCGTCACCTTTTACGGGGCACTCTTCAGAGAGGTGAGGCTCCACGGGGCTCAATTCCCACTCCTGCACTTCCTGCAAGTACCAGGATCTCATCTCCACCTGGACATGGAGATTTGCTCAGTCCTGGCCTCAGGGTGTGTCACTTACTGTGGCTGTGTGTGGGACAGCCTGGCCACAGCCTGGTCCCACAGAGTTCAAATTGCCCTGGCTTGGTTTCATCCATGTGGAGGAAAACTGTGGAAAGCTCTGAAAATGAGGATTTATTGAAGAGCTGAACTTTTCCTGGCTGGGCATTGGGAGCCTCAGTTCCTGATAACTTTCTGGGCTCCTAAATCACCATGGCTCTGCTTTGGGAAGAGTACACCCTAAATGGTAGGGAATGTGCACAGCACTGAATTCCAGAGCAGGGAAAAGAGAGCCCAGGACAGCTCTGAGTGGGTTTAAAAAACAGGGAAGGGAAGGGAAGGGAAGGGAAGGGAAGGGAAGGGAAGGGAAGGGAAGGGAAGGGAAGGGAAGGGAAGGGAAGGGAAGGGAAGGGAAGGGAAGGGAAGGGAAGGGAAGGGAAGGGAAGGGAAGGGAAGGGAAGGGAAGGGAAGGGAAGGGAAGGGAAGGGAAGGGAAGGGAAGGGAAGGGAAGGGAAGGGAAGGGAAGGGAAGGGAAGGGAAGGGAAGGGAAAAGGAAAGGAAAGGAAAAAGGAAAAGGAAAAGGAGGAAGGAAGAAGAGATATTTTGTTCAAATATCTCGGTATCTGCTTGCTTTACTCTCCAGGGAGATGTGTGGATTTGCATGGAGCTGATGGATACCTCACTGGACAAATTTTACAAGCATGTCATTGACAAAGGCCTGGCGATTCCCGAGGACATCCTGGGGAAAATCGCAGTCTCTGTGAGTAGTAGCAGGGTGAGGGGGGAGGAAAGGGGTTTCTCTTCTAAGCCAAGTCGTGCCTGACCTGAGCTCTCTGCTCTGTGTGCAGCAGGAAGAGGGTGGTCCATGTGCCAGCCCATGTCTGGCCTGAAGTGATGTTGTTTATAAGCCATCAATGTGCCCATGCACACACGTGATGGAGAGCCGGCCCATGTGAGATGTGGGGAGGCTCCTGCAGCTCCTTTCCCTTCTCATCGGGGTCTGGAGCCCCCAGGAAGATCCCTGGGTACCCACCAACACCTCAGGCTGCTGGCAGGGTGCAGGACTCAGGGGGAATGTGGTTTTCCTGTCCTCCTGGTGGGTCTGGGGGTGAAGCCAGGTATCATTTTCTCCTCCTCATGGTGCTGCCAGCTGTGATTGACTGTGGATTTGTCGTTTCAGATTGTAAAAGCATTAGAACATCTCCACAGTAAACTCTCCGTGATCCACCGAGGTGAGTGCCAGGCTCACACTGCCCTGCTCTCAGCCTGGCAAGGGCTCCCAAAATACCTGAGATAAAGGGAGCCTTTGACAGCAGAAATACTCCCCAGCATCTCATGACCTGCAGCAAAACCCAGGCAGAGGAGATGGCTGCTGTTTGCTCCTTAAAATCTGCTGCTCCCATTGTTTCCCTGAAGGGGAGGAGAGGGGGCTGGCAGAGGAGGGAGGGGCTGCTTCCCTAAACCCATGGTCTGCTTCATCGCCTGGGTGAAATTCAGGCTTTCCCCGCTTTCTCCTTGGAAAGCTTTGGAGCAGGCTGTGCCCAGGTTTGTCCCCCAACTCCAAGGCTCTGTGCTGGTGTGCAGTGACAGGGGATGTTGGAACCCTGGATGCTGAGAATTTGGGACTTTCTGTGCTGCCAGGCACAGAAGGTAATATATGCAGTGATATATTACCCCCAGGAGAACACTGCATTTGACCTGAGGCATAAAAAAGGCTTCCAGAATGGAATGATGGAACTGGGATTGTGGGGGTGGAGTTTGGATAGAAGTGTGTAAAATCACAGGGTGGAAAACTCAGAATTTAAGGTTTTAGAATATAGTAACATATATATATAGTTTTATATATATGTAAAGTGTATAAGTTTTATATCTGAAACTCCACAAGGGATCTCCCTGCCAGCCTCTTCCTCCTGCGCTGCTCCAGCCATCCTCACCCCTTCCACGAGCTTCCTTGAGCACCAGTGCAGCAGAGCAGCCTGACACCTAAACCAGCCTCAGATGAAATCATGAATCCCCTCCTTAAACTCTTATGATGTTTCCCCCTCTGGAGAGTCTCAAAGCTGCCATGAGCACACTCAGAAACAAATCTGCAGTTGCTGCTTGACACTTTTATTTTTAAAGGGTCATTTTCAATTTGTCCGGAGGAGGAAGGAGCCCTCCCTGGAGGGTGTGAGTGCCTGGGAAGCAGCAGAGTTCAGCTGGAGCTGGCAGTGGCACAGGCTGTGTTCTTCCTGTGCCTGGGGCTTGACTTTCTGCCTTCTGTATCACTTACAGGAGGTGGAAAGCCCTTCTTGGCTGCTGGGTTTCTGTGTGTACTGGTTTGATTTCCACTGAAAATTGTCTGATTTCAGTAGTGACAGATGGGTGAGAGGATTTTGGATACCTGATTGCAGAATGCTGATTAGAGAACAGATATTAATGAGCTGTAATCCCACAGTTCTAATAAGCAGGATTCAAACACAGCTTCTGGCATCCTTCAAAGGGTGTTTCAGCTCTTCTATTTAATTCTTTATCATGTGGAGACAGAGGATCTTCAGGAAGTGACCTGTTATTTCTGGGTGGCAGCAGGGAAAGGATTGCTCCCTTTGGAGCATCCCAGAAAAAGCAGGGTCACCTGTGCTGGGATTCCATTTGGGATTAGCCTCAGAGAGCAATTCTCTGCTCTGCAGGAGAACACCTCCACGCTCTCCTGGGTGTCACCTCCTGGCACCTCTGGGTGCTTCAATTCCCCTTTCTGCTGGGGTTGGAGCTGCCCTCATGAGCCTAATAAACACACCAGGGATTTGTAGAGCCACGATGGGCAGGGATAAATCTGGCAGGAGCAGAGAGATGAGACTCTGGCCTGGTTTCCATGGGGTGTGGAGCTCCCACTGCCCTGCTGCTGCTCACGCTGCAGTCGGGCATTTTATCCTTAAAATCACCGGCCAGAGGTTTCTGAACCTTCGATCCTTGTCTCAGCTTACTGCTCTCTCCTTCCCCTGCAGCCCTTTCACCCCTTCCTGCCCCACATCCTTCCCCCACGGCTTTTTCCTTTCACTGGCATGACTCCAGACCCACGGGGCCTTGCCAGAGCTCCAGCCCTTTGCAGACACCCCATGGAATCACCCCACAGGATGATCCCACGGAATCACCCCATGGAATCACCCTACAGGATGATCCCACAGAATCACCCCATGGAATCACCCCACAGAACGATCCCACAGAATTACCCCATGGAATCACCCCACAGAATGATCCCACAGAATCACCCCCATGTAATCACCCACAGAATCAGCCATAGAATCACCCCACAGAATGACCCCATAGAATCACCCACAGAATGACCCCACAGAATCGCCCATAGGATCACCCCACAGAATCACCCCCATGGAATCACCCATAGAATCACCCACAGAATCATCCCATGGAATCACCCCATGGAATCACCCATAGAATCACCCCATGGAATCACCCCACAGAATCACCCTGCTGAATGACCCCACGGAATCACCCCATGGAATTGCCCCATGGAATCACCCATAGAATCACCCCATGGAATCACCCATGGAATCACCCCACAGAATGACCCCACAGAATCACCCACAGAATCACCTCACAGAATGACCCCACAGAATCACCCACAGAATCACCCACAGAATCACCCCCATGGAATCACCCATAGAATCACCCACAGAATCATCCCATAGAATCACCCCATGGAATCACCCCACAGAATCACCCTGCTGAATGACCCCACGGAATCACCCCATGGAATTGCCCCATGGAATCACCCATAGAATCACCCATGGAATCACCCCACAGAATGACCCCACAGAATCACCCACAGAATCACCTCACAGAATGACCCCACAGAATCACCCACAGAATCACCCACAGAATCACCCACAGAATGATCCCACAGAATGATCCCACAGAATCACCCACGGAATGACCCCACAGAATCACCCATGGAATGACCCCACAGAACGCCCCAGCCCCGCGGCGCACCTCCCTGTGAGCTCCCTGATGTCCGTGGCCGCTCCCTGAGCAGTGGGATGTGCTGGTGGGTGCAGGGTTATCTCCTGCTCCTGTAGAGCAGGGAGAGGAGCGTGTGAGGGCAGGGACACTGGCAGGACACGGACAGGCCCTGGGGCTGTCACCTGAACACCAGTGGGGTTTTGGCACCCCGGAGCGCCGGGCTCTGCTGGGTTCCGTGTGCCCTCTGCTGATAGAACCCTCTGTGGCTGCTTGTGGCTTGGCCCAGGCACCCCCAGGTGACAGTGACTGTGCTCTGTGTTCCTTCTTGCAGATGTAAAGCCCTCTAACGTGTTGATCAATACGCAGGGGCAGGTGAAAATGTGCGATTTTGGGATTAGCGGTTACCTCGTTGACTCTGTTGCTAAAACCATGGATGCAGGATGCAAACCCTACATGGCTGTAAGTTGAGAAGCTGTGTGGGGAGCAGCCAGAGGAACATGAGCCCGGGGGGAAGGATCAGCCTCCAGCAGCCATCCTGGGGATTTGGGTAGCTCTGAGTGAAGGGATACAGTCCCCTTGGGAGGGGAGGCAGATCTCATGGCTCAGATCTCATCTCCTGGGCGTCCTGCTGCCTCCTCGCCTGCCTGGGAGCTTGGGGAAGGCTCTGGGCTTGCTCCCGTTGCCTGTTTGCCTTTTGCCCCGTGGGGACATGGGGAGGAAAACCACCCAGGGGCTGGGTGCCTCGGACTGCTCCTGGGAGCTGTTGGGCAGGGTTCACTCTTCGTGGAGCACTTGACCAGGGTGAAAACAGTCCTGGAGAGCTGGGGCTTGGCAGCCCCTTTGTGCCAGCTGTGCCAGGTCAGCTCCACCACCCCAGCCCGTGGTGCAGGTGGCACCTGGTTCTGGTGACCCATTTCACTGCCTGCCCTTCCTGGTGGGGATGGGGAGCCAGCACAGCTGGGAGGTGAGGTGGTGGTGTGGGCTGAGGGGTGCTGTGCTGCCACCCTGAGAGACCCACCCTGGGCTCTGGGGGCATCCCTGCTCCTCACCCACCTTTGTCTCTGTTGGCAGCCTGAGAGAATTAACCCGGAGCTGAACCAGAAGGGATACAGCGTCAAATCCGACATCTGGAGCCTGGGGATCACCATGGTAGGGCCACCTGGGGACTGCCAGGGCTGTCACCTGGGGGCCACCAGGAGGGCTCAGTGTCCCTCATGGGTTCGTTCTCCTCCCCACAGTGATCCTGGTGGGAAGGGGGAGAGCTCAGGAAGGTGCCCCAGGCTTGGAGGGAAGGAGGAGGGAGCTGCTTGCTCAGCTCCTGGCTGCTGTGGGACATGGAGCTGCGGCTGCCGGGAGATGGCAGCATGGGCTAAGGCGTGATGGATTCCCAGCCCAGAGAGTCCTCCCAGCTCTCAGCCATTCACAGAGGCCCCCTCGGGAGAGCAGGGGCGGGGGCGGCTCCCAGGCAGTGTTTTGGGGGAATCCATCTGCTCCCAGAGTGGTTTGACAGCGCAGTTACCCTGTGCAGGGTGGGGCTGGCTTGAGCTGCCAGCCTTGCCCAGGGGATTGTGGCACGGGGGTGACAGGAATTGCCTGTGCAGCTGGCTGGGGCTCCTCCAGCCTCTCCTGTTTGCTGGGGGAGGATAAGCAATGTGCTGTGGCCAGGTGGGGTGAGGAAATCATAGAATCCCAGAATGGTTTGGGTTGGAAGGGGCCTTAAACAGCATTTTATTGCACCCTCTGCCATGGCAGGGACACCTTCCAGTGTCCCAGGCTGCTCCAAGCCCTGTCCAGCCTGGCTTTGGACATTTCCAGGGATCCAGAGGCAGCCACAGCTGCTCTGGGCACCCTGTGCCTCACCACCCTCACAGGGAACAATTCCCTCCTAATACCTAATTGATATCTCTCCTCTTTGAGTTGAAAACCAATCCCCCTTGTTGCATCACTGTTTGCCCATGAGAAAAATCACTCTCCCTCCTTTCTGCAATGTCCCTTTAGGCACTGCAAGGGGCTCTGAGATCCCTTGGAACGTTCCCATCTCCAGGCTGAACAGCCCCCTTTGTGTGGATCCTACACAAACACCCCTGGGCGGGCACGCAGCCATCCCAAATCTGTGGGGTGGGCGGGCTGTGGGGTGTCCCCCGTGCTGAGGGGTGGGCTGTGTGTCTGCAGATCGAGCTGGCCATCCTGCGCTTTCCCTACGACTCCTGGGGCACGCCCTTCCAGCAGCTCAAGCAGGTGGTGGAGGAGCCCTCGCCGCAGCTCCCAGCAGAGAGGTTCTCAGCAGAGTTCGTCGATTTTACCTCGCAATGGTAAAATTCCCTCTTTTCCCTCTCTTTCCCTGGTCCCTGCTCACCTTCACCACGTCTCCACGGGCAGCTCTCAACCCTAATTTTGGGCAGAGCATTCTCTGGGGGAGCTGGGCACACACAGCCCAGTGACACAAACTGTGCCACACACAGCCCCAATGACACAAACTGTGTGCCACACACAGCCCCAATGACACAAACTGTGCCACACACAGCCCCAGTGACACAAACTGTGCCACACACAGCCCAGTGACACAAACTGTGTGCCACACACAGCCCCAATGACACAAACTGTGCCACACACAGCCCCAGTGACACAAACTGTGCCACACACAGCCCAGTGACACAAACTGTGCCACACACAGCCCCAGTGACACAAACTGTGTGCCACACACAGCCCAGTGACACAAACTGTGCCACACACAGCCCCAGTGACACAAACTGTGCCACACACAGCCCCAGTGACACAAACTGTGTGCCACACACAGCCCAGTGACACAAACTGTGCCACACACAGCCCCAGTGACACAAACTTTGTGCCACACACAGCCCCAGTGACACAAACTGTGCCACACACAGCCCAGTGACACAAACTTTGCCACACACAGCCCCAATGACACAAACTGTGTGTCACACACAGCCCCAATGACACAAACTGTGTGCCACACACAGCCCAGGGACACAAACTGTGTGCCGCACACAGCCCAGGGACACAAACTGTGTGCCACACACAGCCCCAGTGACACAAACTGTGTGCCACACACAGCCCCAGTGACACAAACTGTGTGCCACACACAGCCCCAGGGACACAAACTGTGCCACACACAGCCCAGGGACACAAACTGTGCCACACACAGCCCCAGTGACACAAACTGTGTGCCGCACACAGCCCAGGGACACAAACTGTGCCACACACAGCCCCAGGGACACAAACTGTGTCACACACAGCCCAGTGACACAAACTGTGCCACACACAGCCCCAGTGACACAAACTGTGTGCCACACACAGCCCAGTGACACAAACTGTGCAACACACAGCCCCAGGGACACAAACTGTGTGCCACACACAGCCCCAGTGCCAGTGACACAAACTCTGGCTCTCAGGACAGGTTTTGCCCCATGGTGTCCCCCTCTGCCCGGTGTCTGTCCCTCTCCTGGGGCCCTGGGGCTGCTGCTCTGCTTTCCCTGGGTCTGCCCTGGAAGCAGCAGGAGCATTTGGCTGTGCTGTAGGAAAAGGGCTGGAGCAGCCCAGCTGCTGTCTGCAGGCTGCACAGAGAGCTCAGGCCAGGAAGGGGATTGTCAGCTGCTCCTGCCTGGGGACTCTCAGTACCTGTCGGAATCTGAGGTATTGATGATCCCGAGATTGTAGAAAGTCTCTGTCTGTCAGCCCCACTGCCAAAGCAGAAGCCATAATTCGTCTGTGCTGGTTTCAAGGTTGTTTATTTTGTTTATCTCTAACATGTTCTGCTGCCCTGCCGCAGCTCTGTCCTGCAGGGCAGCGTGTGGGGCTCTGCCCTCAGTGGGATGTTACAAACATTAAATACCACAAACTACCTGTGCTGGATTTACAATAACGTGCCAATATCTGTCACCTACGTTTGACAGTGTGTCCCCAGCCTGAACCAACAGAAAAATGCCAACACCACAGTGAAACATGGAGGGCATGAAGAAGGAGAAAAAGGACAAGGCACACCCAATTTCCTCCATCTTGTCCCCTTTGGACCCCTCATCTAGAATCCTAAAATTTTACTTTTGCACCCGTGCCACACTTAATTATTACTTATATCAAACACTCAGAGCTGGTAATTCATCCTGTAAGATTGAAAACTCTTTTCCATGGACAGAGATAACAGACAGTGTCTCTGGGGGCTCTGTCCAGGGGGGTTCCTGACCCCTGCAGGGTCCCAGGCCTGCCAGGGCAGCCAGAGGGAAGCTCTGGATTCCCACAAGTACCCACGTTTAGATTCTTCAGAGTCTTGTTCAAATGTGTTTTCATGTCCCTGGGGTCCAGCTGCTCAGCTCTGACCCACGCTGGGGAATACCTGCCATGCCCACTGTGCCCTGAGTCTGGGAGAGGTGGGAGCTGCCTTGGAAAACCCCTCACAAGATGCCCCCCGTTCTTGCCAAGCCCACGCTGAGCTTTTGGAGCAGCTGCTGTTCCTGCAAACCGTGCTGCTGGCTCTGCTGTTCCCTCCTTGTGCCAGGCAGGCTGTTCCTCTCAGGGGATTTGCTTTTCCAAGCCCTGTGTCGTGCAGCTCAGGCTGTGGCTGCTTTAGGAGTTACATCCACAGCCACTCTGGGGAGCAGGTGGTGATTCCTGTCTTTGCAAATCCTGTCCTCCCGCGTCACTGAAGATCCCTCACTGCCAGCAGAGTGGCACGGACTTGGAATGGTGAAGTTTGCACCAATTTTGTGGACAGGACTTGGAATGGTGAAGTTTGCACCAGTTTTGTGGACAGGACTTGGAATGGTGAAGTTTGCACCAGTTTTGTGGACAGGACTTGGAATGGTGAAGTTTGCACCAGTGTTGTGTTGTTAGGGTCTGACAATTCCTTCTGACACTGATCCAGGTCATAGCCACTCTGTATCAGGCCTGGCTTAGGGCTGTGTTTATCCATCTGCTGCCTGAAGTCTGATCACCTGTAGGCACTGCAGGAAGGTCCCTGGGATATCTGAGTCAGGATCAGATCCCAATATAACCCTTCATTCCTGAAAATTTACATCGATTTCGATAACTTATCACCAGATTTCCTGCTATTAGTAACCTGGGGATGAATTGGTTTTGTAGAGGGTCTAAATTAAGAGAATTGCATCAAATCTGGACACAGCTAACCTTCAAATTCACCTTGTCATCTTGGCTGGGGCTGCTCCTGAGCTGGGAGGATGTGACACATCCCGTACCTTCGGGCCGGCGATATTGGCACGTTTGAGCCCCGGGTTCCTCTGTTCATTCACAACACGACACTGAACACGAGCCCTCTACACACAGCAAGCAGGAAATATCTATTCAGTGTGTGTCCTCTGCTTCCTCTGGGCCCCAGAAATCCCAGCAGAGGTTCTCACTTTTGTTTTGCTCAGTGTGACACCTTTTCCCCGCCACCGCCGCGTACGTGTGTGAAGATCTTTTCAAGTTGCTCCAAGTGTCTTTCCCCTAAATACACTGCCAGGAAGTGAGTAGAGATTACGTCCTGTCTTTTAAAAAGCTATTTTCTGCTGGAGGGAAACCAAAATAACTTCCAGCTACAACCCTCCAGGGCCATCTGTTGTAGGAGAGGAGAAAAAAAGGATGTCCCATGGAGCAGTCCCCGCTGATAACAGCACGGTGATAAACAAACAGTTGGGCATGTGCTCTGCAGCCACTCAGTCGCTGCTCCCAGGCAGAGCTTGGAGGCTGAATCCCTTCCCTGAGTCACTGGCCTGTTGGAGAGCACCCAAACCCCCAGCTGTACCTGGCCCCAGCAAGAGGCAGTGTTTGAAGTGGTGTTTTTGGTGGCTCCAGATCTCTTGGTGGATCTTGAGCTCTTGTACCCAGCACCGTTGGCTGTCCTTGTCCTCAAGGCCTAAATTGTTTCCTCAGTTTGGAGGAGTAGCTGAATTTATTCTGCAGATTCTTTAAACCTTGCTTGTGTCATGGTGTAATTTTATGGGCTTACTTAAATTGCAGAGAGAATGTAAATTCTAATTGTTTTCTTTTTTTTTTTCTCCCAATTAAAGCTTGAAGAAGAATTCCAAAGAACGGCCAACATACCCAGAGCTTATGGTGAGTGTGGCTGCATCAAGCAGTGTGTTCAGAGCTGGAAAGGGTCACAGTGAGGTGCTGAAGGCAGAGATTCCAGTAGTGGTGGTGTTTTGGGCTGCTTTACATCTCTTTTTTCATACCAGATGGGAGAACTGTGACACTTCAGAGTCCTGGGAGGCTGGCTGCTAAGCAGAGAGCTCTTTAAAATCTCAGCCAGGTGCTTTTCCAGCTTTTTTGGAAATCAAGGGAGAAAATGCATGTTAAAGCAGGTCATGGACAAGAATGAGGCTGTGAAGAATCAGTTAGTGAGGCTCAAATCCTCCTCTGGGGTTTGTGTGATCAACTCAAACACCTCAGTGTGCCACAGGTGCTCCACAGGAGTTGCAGGAGCCCAGTGGCCAGCTGGGCTTTGCTGCCCTGGTGCTTTGGAGAGGAGGAGTTTTGGACAGAGTCACTGCTGGACGTTGGGGACAGGGATGAGTCTGTGACTAACAATCCCAGTTATTGAATTTCATCTGCTGCCTAGAGACTGTTTACTGGGAGGGATAACTGAGGAGTAACTAAGGAGGAAAATGCCAATAAAGGTTGGTGACAGGGAAAATGCAGGACACTGGTCTGTGCCCAGCCAGGGCTCTGGGCAAGAACAGATTTTTCTGCTTGGGCTCCACAGCTTCATGGCCTCCCCTTCTCTCCTGACTTTCTGGTATTGATCCTGGTGCTCCTAAAAGCTGGCAAAAAGCAGGAGAGCTCAGGAAGTTAGTGTCTCAGTCTTGCAGGCATTTAATCCTTTTTTATTCTCACACAATTCACAGCTTTCTAAAGGCAGGAGGATGCCTAAATTTGTTATTTCTGAAGATCCTGACCCTGCATTCCCACCCCTGTCCAGTCTCAGTGTCAAGATCACCTGGATTAAAGGTGGAAACTGCTGAGGGATTTTTTTAAACACTCATATTCCCTACCCAACAATATTTGGGATGTACATTCTGCCATCAGAGGGTCAGAGCCATCACCACCTCACACTTTCTGCTCAGAGGTGAGAAGGTGCAGGTTAAAGGTGATTTTTACCTGCAAGTCATGCTGGAAATCCACGACCCTGAGTTGTAAGCAGTGAATAATTCCCGTGGCATTTGGTGCTGTGCCCTGTAATGCAATTAAACTATAAATAGATCTGATTGACACACAGCTTGCCCCCAGACTGGTTTCAAACAAAGGGAGGCCTGAGATTTATGGCTTTAAAAAAAATATATATATTTTTTTGGGGGGGTTATATTATTGAATAAATCCATCTGTATATTTTAAGCAAACTTCTGAACTTTGCCAAATGGCCTTTTATCAAGAAAGGTTCAGCGAAGCAGCTCCGTCTGCTGCAGCATTAATACCCATTGGCAAGGGAGTGCATTTCTATTGAATTAGCTTCTTGGATCACCCCTGCAGAGTATCTCAATGCTGTGGTATTTTATGGCTGACATGGATGTTGTGAGGTCCTGTGGTTGAGGGTTGCTGTTTTGTTGGGGTTTTTTCCTCTCTCTTACAGCATTAAGTTGCAGTGCTGGATTGGACTTGTCATTTAGACCAAGACTGCTCCCTTGCTTTCCTGTGGAATTGAGGTTTCTTATGGAAAATATGACTCTGTGCTATCTTGAGCATCAGGAAAGCTGATAGGGGTGCTTAATTTCATTTAAAAACCCCCTTCCCCAGGTGAAGTGGAGCGTGAAACTACTGCAGGAGCAGTGGTCTGCACACCCTGCCTGGCACGGGCTCTGGGCCAGGCTCAGGGCTTGGCTTCCCCGGGGCACGGGGCTGGAGGGCACTGCTGCCACCCCGGCACATTTTTGGGTGTTTCCAGGCTGTGGTAGCTGTGCTTTGGGTGTCACTTCAGGGGGGTGTGAAAGCAGGGACATCATGCTGGGATAATAACAAGACATTGGGGTCACCTCAGAGTTACTCAGGACACTTAATTCCTGTGACTGTCTGACCTAGGGAGACCTTAAGTTTTGTCTGGATCTTTGCCTCAACCCATTCCAGCCCTGTTTCCCACATAATTGTGCTTCCTCTTCCTTACTGGTGTGTCTTTGGATCGTTTCCCAGCCGCTCTGAGCTGCCTCATCTTATTCCCTGGGTGACTTTCCACTCAAACCCACCTTGAAAAAATCTCTTTTCTTTGCTCTTCTTCTCCCTCCACTTGGCCATTGCCAAGAAACAGCCAACGCTCAGGAACTGAGGTGAGGGGCAGCTTGGAAATACCCTGGAAACTCCAAATGACCTTTAAAAATCCAACTTGAAATGAGAGGGTTGGAAATCAAACCCTTGTACAGAGCAGAGATCACTGTGAGCCCTGCAGGGCCCTGGCTGCCTTTTGGTTCTCTCTGACCCCCTCCATACAAATAAATCCGATTATCTGCCAGGACAGTGGGTGTCAGGCAGGGTTTTGGGGGTTTTCAGCTGGGGTCTCAGCTTGGTGCGTTGCTGAGCCAACCAAACTGAATTGCTGGTCCTGGTGGAGAGGGGTTTTGTTGCTGTGGTGGGGGATTTGGTGGTGTTTTTCCTCCTCACCCATATTTTTCCATTCATGCTGCAGTGTCGGCAGGGTTTTCTGGCAGGCTGTCTCCCCACCTCGGTCAGGATGAAGTAGTTAAACACACAAGTGGGGATGGTTTTCCAGTTGGGATGGCTTTCCTGTGTGGTGGCTGGGGTGAAGGAGCCTCTCCTGCTGCGAGGAGGGGCAGTTCAGGGAAGAAATGAGACTCAGGAGTCACCAGAGGGTAAATACACAGACAGAGCTGAGGGAAAAGCACTGCAGTCAGCAAGGTTTTCCCTGCTTCAGCTGGAGCGTGTGGGATGGGTAACCATGGTCTGGGGGGTGTCTTGGGGCAGATGGAGAGGGTTTTCTAAGCTTTCCCCTTGCCCCAGAGCTGCCCAACTCAGCCCTGCCAGCCAGGGCAGGGTTTGGGGGGAATCCAGGGCAGCATCACAATTTCATGGAGCAGCCCTTGTGCTCCCCGACTCGCCTCAGCTGTAAAAACCCAATATTATGATGCTAAGGAGAAAACCTTCTTCACTGTCTGGAGAATTGTCTGAAAAGCCTTTTTTGCTCAGCGTGGCGAATAATAAACTTTGCTGGTTTTTTTTCTCTCTTTGCTTTCCCAGCAACATCCTTTCTTCACCCTGCACGAATCCAAAGAGACAGACGTCGCCTCTTTTGTCAAGCTCATCCTGGGAGACTGAGAACTGGACTTGTGAAAGAATTGCCCTTCTGTGGACTGGTGGGTGCAGGGGAGGGGCGCGTGGCAGGACTTGTCATGGAAGCACCAACAGAAAGTCGCCGTGGTTTGTTTTGTTTTGTTCTGTTTTGATTCTGAGAAACCCCCACCTCACCCGAGTTTTTTTAAAGGGTTCTTTGGTATCCATAGTGACATAGAACGAGCTGGTTAGTGGAATGAATTTTAATAAGGTTGGTAACCTTAAAAGAAAAAACAACAACAAAAAAAAAGTTTTTTGAAAGAGTGATTTACATATTTAATGACAGTCGAGGTTCCTCTTCCTAACTTGCTCCTCATCCCCCTTCCCTTCCCCTTGAACCAGAATTTGCTTTGTCATGGTAATAGGTGCTATGGTAGTCATGAAGTTGTATGTAGATTTATATTTTGTCCCTTCCATTATTTTAATATTTATGTTAAGTGCTTGATGGAATAGATTTCTGTTTTATATGAGGATGAGTGCGTGGTGATGATGATGATGATGATGATGATGATGATGATGATGATGATGATGATGCAAAATGAGGCTACAGCAAGCAGCACTTGTAGGGCTTTGCTGGGGAAAAGGTGTCCGAGCAGAGGAGAGAGGAGAGGAGAAGTGTCCCTGTTGTGGAATATATTTGATGTGCATCATAAAAGGAATTGATAAGCAAGACTTGCAGCTCAGCTGCTCGAGCTGTGCCAGGGAGGGAGGCCCAGTGTCCCCTGTGGTCACCTCTTCTCCGGACACCACGCTCCGAGTCTGGCCGGCGCTTCCCGGCCTCGGGCTGGGCCAGCCCTGTCCCACCCCTGCCCTGCTGGAGAGGCTGGCTGGGAGCTCTGGGGCTCACTGGGACAGTGTCTGGGACAATGTCTGGGACAGGAGGCCCAGGGGGAAGGAGGTTGTCGGAGAAGTTGCACAAAGAGGAGGAGGAGGAGGCTGCCCTGGTCAGTGCCCGCCTGCCCAGCAGCGTTGCAGTGCCTGAGGCTCCCTTGGGCTGGGGATGAGCTGCTTGGGCCTCAACAGGAGCTCCTCTCTCCTTCTCGGGATGAGACAGGATCACAGGATGCACGGCCTGGCACCTGTGAAAAATGGGATGCTTTAGTGCTGGTTGCCAGGGCTTGTGGCACTGCCTTGGCAGCAATCCCTCCGTGCTTGCCCACAGGGTCTGGGAGTGCCAGCGCTCCCAAGAGCCCGTGCTGGGACTGGGCTGTGGCCAGCCCCAGCTGGGATGCTGCAGGCAGCCAGCAGCACTGGGCTCTGCCGTGGGCTGCAGGTGGGAGCTGCAGCCTGGGAAACCACGCAGGGACACCACAGCCCACCCTGCCCAGGAGCTCCTCGCTGCTGGCTGGCTCCTTGGGGACAAGCTGCAAGCCAGGGGCAGGAGAAGGGAGCTGGTGAGGTGGGAGAGGAGCTGGAGATCCTTCTGCCCTCAGGTCAGTCACTGTCTGGAGCAGGGGCTACTGTGAGTGTTGCTGAGCCCGGAGCGAGGCCGCTGGTTTGAGCCACACCTGCCCAGCTGCCTGAGCTCCTCTGCCTTTGCCCGTGGCTCCTTCCCCCAGCCCTGCAACGGGGCCAGGCTGCACAAGTGCCTCGTGCCCCTGCACACGCTTCCATCCCCACCCCTCGCTTGGGCACAGCCCCTCGGAGCCAGGTCTGAGCAGAAACACGCTGCTCTGCAGTGCTGGACCTGTGCAGGTGTCATTGAACCTGTGCACAATGACATTGAACCCTACTCTGCAATGCTGGACCTGTACAGGTGTCACTCAGCCTGTGCACAATGTCACTGAGCCTGTGCAGGTGTCATTGAGCCTGTGCAGGTGTCATTGAGCCTGTGCACAATGTCACTGAGCTTGTGCACAATGTCACTGCGCCTGTGCAGGTGTCACTGAACCTGTGCACAATGTCACTGAGCTTGTGCACAATGTCACTGCACCTGTGCAGGTGTCACTGAACCTCTGCAGGTGTCACTGAACCTGTGCACAATGTCACTGCACCTGTGCAGGAGTCGCTGCAGCTGCGCAGGTGCCGCTGCACCTCTGCAGGAGTTGCTGCAGCTGTGCAGGTGCCACTGCACCCTGCTCTGCCCGCTGAGCAGCTGCAGGCTGTGCTGGTGCAGCTGGAACGGTCTGAGCGGGTTTTGGGGAGGGATCCCCAGAAGGGCTGGTGGGCAGGGCAGTGCTCAGAGCAGGGCTGTGGCTGGTGGCACTCGGTGCTGGGGACACGCCAACCCTTCCAAGAGGCGCACAAAGACACCGCAGTGCCTGGGCCGCCCCTGTCACTGCCACCACGGGCTGGCACAGTGCCACCGGTGTGGCACAGCCCTGCCCTGGGCTGGCAGTGACAGACAGGGCAGCGCTTGTGGGATTCTCAATCCTTGTGCCCTCAGCTCGCGGGGGCTCGCAGAGGAGCCAGGGTGGGATTCCCAGCTCCTGCAGGCTTTGGGGAGGAGGCTCCCCTTGCTCAGCCCTGCCCCAGGAGCCTGCCCGGCCCTCAAGGAAGGACAGGCTCAGCGTCTCACCCTGTGCCCAGGGGAACCTTTCAGGTTACATTTCGTGGCGGGTGAAACACGAGGATGTTTTACTTCACAGTGTAATTTTAAGAGGCCTCGCATGGCTCATGACCTGTCCTCTCATATTCCATGGGGTGTGTGTGTGTGTGTTTTCTCTCTCTCACTTTCTCAGAGTCACAGAGCTGTTTTGATTGATTGTCCTCAGCTGCAGCTGAAAGTCCAGCCAGCCAGTTTATAGACTTGGTTCCAGCATCAATTCTCACTTTGAAAAACATGACATTTAAAACCACTCTTTGGTTTTCCTACATATGGATCTGATGCTTTTGTTGAAGATTGTTTTTGCTGCTTTTCCCCTGCAATATAAGTCTCATTTGGACACCGCATCTCCTTGACCTCAGAGCACCTTCATTTCAGTGCCATTGTAATTGACAGGTTGAATTTATGAGATACTGTCAAAGCTCAGTATTAATAGCAGATATTAATGTCACCAGCGTTTTCCAATGGAGAATTAATGGCAGTGCTGTCTGCAGCTAGGAACCCTCTAAAAGGATTCCTCCGTGCCTCCACACAGGCCTTGCTTTTCTGCTTTCTGCTCTAATCCCTTTGTTTTAATGACATTACAATAGGGCATGCAGCAAATCCCTCCCCTTCCCTGCTCCTTTTCCATGACTTTGTCCCTTTTAAAGTCGTTTGTGTCAGCCCAGAGTAAGTGTGGAGCTGTCTGAGCGTGAGAATGGGAAGTGCTGTGAGAGTGCTGAGCGGAGCTGTGGCAGCACAGGCTGTGGGGCTGTCCCTGCATCCCTCGTGGTGGCCACAAAGCTTGGCCTGACCCAGGAATTTCTTAGAGAGAAGCCTGAGCTTGGTGGCTTCAGCTCAGGGAGGAGAGCCAGGAACTCCTGTGTGTCTCAAAGCCCTGCAGACCTGCAGGATGAGAGTCAGGCTCTTCTCTCTGCTGCTTAATTGTCACCTCTGTGAAGATGAGAAGCCTTTGCTTGCTGCTCAGATCTTTGTTTGGCCAGACAGGCTCTGGGAAACCTTTCCTGACAGGCTGGCCCCCTGAACAGCCCAGGTGTTTAGGATGAGGGATGTTCTGCACACAGGTTTTCTGTGTTCACACAGCACAGGGCTTGGGATTGCCCCAAACTGGGATTTTTAGAGAAGCAGGTCCCAAATGCCAGAATCTTGAAAGAACCCCAAAGCCAGGGAGCAGAGAGAGAGCAAAGCTGCTGGGAGCTCAGCACTGGGCTTGAGCTGGACCCGCTGTGGGTGGGTTTGCAGGGCAGGAAGGGCCTCTCCAGGCTGCCACAGGTTTTCAGGAGGCACAGCCCATCCCCAGAGATCCCCAGGTGTGATGTCCATCCTCCTCTTCCTCCCACTGTACAGCCCCTGCAATCTCCAGGATGCTGGAGGCCTTGCCATGGCTGGAACTCTGAGGTGTCACTGGTAGCAAAGATGTTTTCTGGGTCCCCAGGAGCCCTTTGGACCCTTAAATCTGGAAGAGGAGCTGGAGGGCATTTTCTGGTTGCTGTTTTTAAACACCAGGTTCATGCTGCTGCACTGGGTGCAATGCCCATCTTTCCTGGAGTTCTTCCAGGTATACAAACCTTGACACAGATATCTCTGTACTGTGTTTCTGTGGTTTTCCCTGATCTTTGATGAGTTTATTGGTGACAAAGAGGCAACTCTGACTTGTTAAAGAGGTGAAACTTCATTTCTGGAGGCAGGTGTGTGACACAGGAGGCAGTTGGTGGGTCACTACTTGAAAAAATCTCAAAAAAAATCTCAATTCTCAACCCTGCTGTTGAGCAGGTGCTGCTGGGTCAATGCTGCTGCACCTTGTCCAGGTGGGAAGGGGCTGCCAGGGGCTGAGGACACAGCCTCAGCTGGGATTTCTCCATGCTTGCTGCCAGCCATGTGTGTACCTGCACATTTCCCTTCTTCCCTACACGTTCTGGAAGAGGAAATCCTGCTTGGTCAACACAGCATTGCTTCAGTGGCTGGTCTGGTGTGGTTCAGACAAGATTCCCACCAGCTTGTGTGTTTAATAAATCTTTTTTATTCAAAACAACCCCCACACTCCTCTCTCAGAAAAGCCAGCCAAGATGCTCTTTTTTTTTTTTTTTTTTTTTTTCCCTTTCCATCTTGTTCCTGTTAGAGGAATTCTGGGAGCCTGTCTTGGTGCTTTCACTCTTTCACATGCCAAAGATCCCTCTTAGTTATGCTCCTGCCAAACCAGATCTGATAGCCTTGCCTCTGAAACCATCCACTTCCCTGCTCCTTGGGGTTCCTTTTGTTGCTGTTGCTTTTTCATTGAATTTCCTCGTGTTTATTGACATGTCTATTGTTGAGCTTCCTGGACACATGCAGCTCTCTTTTTTGGGATACAGGGAAAGACAAATAGTTGCCTTCACTTCAGTGCCCCTGCTGTTGGGGAAATACTGTCAGTGATGTGATTCCTACAGATGGGATGGGTCTCATGTAGAGCTGGGGTCATGGAGGTGTAAACTGGCACTGCTCTGTTCCTTGGCTGGAGTAAGGCCAGTTTTGTCCAGCTGAGAATCTGTCCTCAGTGTCTAAACAGTTATTACACACTAATAAAGATTAATGATCATAAATCCCCACGGATTAGACATAAAATGGCAAGTTTTGCTCATTAATCTTTATTGCCATATTATGGTTGTTGATGTTAGAGCAGGCTCCCCCCTCTGCTGTGCAGAGAGGAGGGGGCTGAGCCTGAGGAGAGGGAGGGAGGACAGAACACACAGAACACACCAGATGTCCACATTTTACACTCTGTGTCCTGCCCCAGGCTCCTTGTTTCCTTGCAAGCCCTTAAGCAGCAGCAGAGGATGGATCCCAGAGCTTTGCCTCTGCCTGGGCTATAAAACCCAGATTGTTTCTGGTGAGAAGGGATCAGATCTCCTCATTAATATTTCAGCTCAGCCTTTGCTGGAGCAGATGGAGAATGTGAAATTTGCCCTGTGCTCTGCAGAGCTGGGAGATTCCCCCCTGGATCATGGCTGGAGCAGTGGCAGCTCTGTTGAAGGCTGAAAGAACTCTACTCCTTCACATAACCCCACTTCATATAAACAGTGGCTTTTGGTAATAAATAGGGCCAGAAAAAGCTGCATCTCAGTTTTGAGGTGTTTGCAGATGAATAAACACAGCCAGGAGCTGGTGGTGCCAGTGCTGCAGGCACAAAGGTCCATTGCTGGATAAATGGAAAGGACTCTGAGAGTGCAGTGAACTTCAAGGGTGGATTTAATGGCGTGGGGACAAAATGAGTGCTCTGATGGGCAGCTGGTGTCAGCCCTCCCTGCCAGGGGGGAGCAGGAGAGGCAGCACACAGCCTGAGGGCAGCCTGGCTGCCCTTCCCCTCCCCACATCTTTCTTCAGGCCCAGATCTGTGGGCACTGCATCCCACTCATCCCCAGTTCCAGCAAGGGGAGCAAAACCTAAAATCCAAAAGAAACCCACAGGGAAAAACCTGCAGGTGACCCAAGGCACGCTGCTGCTGTGTGGCCTTAAAAAAAGGGAAATCCTGGGAGAGGCCTCGGGAGCTGACAGAGGAGAAACTTTCAAGGTGGTCTCCAACCAGGTTAATGCTGGAAATACCCCATTTTCAGGCCAGCAGGAGGAGGGGCAGCCAGGGAGCAGCTGGGGCTGCAGGATGGTTTTGATGTGTCCTTCACAGCAGCCCTGGGATGCTGGACAGCCCTCGCCCTCCGTGGACACCTGACATCCTGGGCACCTTCATATTTCTATTTTCATGTCAAAATGTTTCTCATTTTTTTCTTTTCATGGGATTTTACTGGCAGCCAGTGGGAAGGGGAAGGGGCCTGCAGTCCGTGGAGTGCTTTGGGGGAGGAAGGAGCTGCCTGTCCTCTCCAGTTCCCTGCTCCCTAATTCCACAGCTGGGAATTGGCTGCACGGCCACCTTCCAAGAGCTCTTCCCTTCCTTTGCTGCCGTTCCACTGAAATTCCCTTTGGGAATGCTGGGCAGCTCTGGAGCTGCAGCAGCCCAGCTCTGAGCTGGCTCAGCCAGGATGAGCCTCAATCCCTTCCCTGGGAGCCTCCTGGTTTTTGGAGGATGGGGCGAGCGTCCAGCGGCCGCGAGGTTCTGCGGGGATAAGCCGGGAAAGGCTTGGAAGTGGAGATGGAAATCTCGAAAGATCAGACGTCTTTTGGCCATTTCCAAAGCTATCTGGTGTTAGCCAGACCTGAAAACCCTTCCTAGAAGTTTTATTTCGGGGTATTTTGATCTGTTACTTTCGCTTTTGGGCTTAGCTAAATCCAGGAAACTCACAGTGGTGTAATTATTGAATAAAGACTAAACACACCCCAAGTATTCCTGAACCTATCAGGAAGGCTGCTCCCTGGTTTATCTTCCAGGAATAATTCAGGCCAGCTCAGGCTTGAGTTCAGTCTGGTTTTGCCCCTAAATAATGATTCTTTTTGAGGAAATAATGAGAGCAGGCCAAAAGGCTGTGACCTGACACACCAAACCCTTCCAAGAGGTGGATAGAGATAAATGCTCCAGTGAGAGGGGCCAATGTCTGGAGGCTGGAAGAGCAGCCTGGAGTATCCATGGCCTCCAAAAACTCACATAGGCACATTTTCTCCAAGAACTGTGGATGGAGGTGTTGGATTCTGCATATCTTGGGATTTTTCCCTCTAGGAGAGAACATTCAGCCATCTTGGAGTGTCCCAGAACACCCAAAAGCCTTCAGCATTTTCATGTTTTGTTTTTTTTTTTCCAGGATGGATACTGTGAAAAGTCAGGAAGGGCCAGGTGTCCTTGATTTGTTCAGCCAGGGTCAAGAAAGGTGGATTAAGTGCCTGGTAAAAGCCAAAAAAAGGTGTGTTTAAAGATAAATCCCAGTCTCTGTCAGAGCTGTTGAGCCAGGATCGAATTTTCCCAAATCCAGGTACAGCTGCAGAGCTCTCCATCCATTTTTAGCCCAAATTTAGTCACAAATCCTGAATAAACACCTACAGCATGGACTGTGCCTTCTGAGGGGCTTCTTGCAGGCTGGGGCTCAAAATCCAATATCCCCCAACCCAGGATTTGGCCCTGAATATTCCCTTTAAAATCCATGTGTAAAGTGAATTTCCAGGGCCCGGCCGCTGTTTTTATTTTGGTGAATCGAGTGGTTTGTGCTTGGTGAGAGCTGTCCCTGTGCCAGGGGCTGCTGGAAATAGTCACAACATCCAAAAGAGCTGCAATTCTGCATTTTTCAATAGCAATACAACAAGGGGAAGCTGCTAAATGGAGCTTCTTGTAAGCTGGAAATGTGTTGGAGTAAAATTTGTCGTTTCTTGTGGGGAAAAAAGCCTTAAACAACACCCTAAAATTGTCCAAAGTCTTCAATTTAAGGATTTACAGTTTTGTTGGCAAAGATCCATGTTTAGCATCAATATATGGGATTTCTAGACTTTCTGTCTTAAGGTGTGAAGTCTGCTTTTTCTTGAGATAGGGGGAAATCTGTAACAAGAATATTTCTACATCATTTTGGCTACAAAAAAAAAAAACCCAAACACCAAAATATGAGCAAAAAAATGGAAAAGCACCCAGATCCCAGTGGTCTCTGGTGTTGAGGAGGCACATGAACCTGTTAGGAAGAAGAGTTTCCAACCTGCTGTAATGCAAGTCCTTATTTTACTTTATTTTTAGGATTTTTTTTACAGTAACTTCGTTTGGTTGCTTAACTGTGAAAGTCTCTGCTTTTTTATCCCTGTGAAAGGCTGATTATTCTTTCTCATGTTTGTCTTATTTATTATTTATCCCTTTCTGGTACTATCCAAGAGGTGCTGAAGGTATTTCCCAGCCTGCCCTTGAGCCATATGGAATCTCTGTGGTATCTCCTAACAGCTGGGATGGCAGTAGACAGCTAATTATGATTTTAAATTATATTTATAGCAACTTAGATTGGTATTTTTTTAGTGTCCTGGTTTGCTCTAGAATTAGGGATGAGGAGAAGCAATCTTGTTTCTTAAAAAATTGTAATTTTTTGAGTTTTCTTTTTACATCTTGGGGGCTTCTGAAGAAACCTGCTCACTTTTATGTTTTTAGGAGGGAAGCACGAGGTGAATTTCATGTTCCTTTGAGAGGGGATTGAGTAGCACCAGGGTTCAGTTCAGCTGGTAAAATGCTCTGTGTCACATCATTAAAACCACCCGGAATGCTGAGAAAACAACCCCTTTCCACCTGGAAATTAAAATCTGGTTGGTGACAAACTTGGTTTGTCCAAGGCTTTTCTCTGTCAGATTTCCATGGAGTTTGCTGAGCGTCGTCAGGATTGGCCAAGGCAGGGCTGGGGACAGCCAGGTGTCACCTCTGGCCTGGAGGACACATGTCCTGCAGGAATATTGCAGCAATTCATCTGCAGCTTCGTGCTCTCCAGGGGATGTTGAAGGGAATCCCTTAAGTGTGGGAGAGAATCCATCAGGTTTTATTCTTTTTATTCCCTTTCTCCCCTTGGAAAGGTCCTTCAAAAGCTTCCCCAGCCTTTCTGATAAAGAATAACAGAATCAGACAACCACAGAGTCATTTAGGGTAGAAAAACCTTTAAAATCATCGAGTCCAACCAAAAACTCAGCACTGCCAAGGCCACCACCAACCCATGTCCCCAAGTGCCACATCACACATGTTGAGCCCTTGCAGGGAGGGTGACACAAGCCCTTCCCTGGGCAGCCTGGGCGCTCTGGTGCAGCTGCTTTCAGACAGCTCACGCTGCTTTTCTGGTTTGTTTTCTTTCCCCAACATATAAGAAACGTTGGGTAGCAGAATGTGGAATTGATTAGAAGTTCATAAAGCAGGGACCTCAGAAGGATGTGGGTATAAATGCTTTTCAGGCATCCGAGGTGAACTTTAAATGGAGCTTTGGCCCTCATTTGCTTTCTGCTTTTCAAAAACCATTTATGAGAAAGTGGAGCTGTCAAAGCCGTGCATGAACTTTGCCTTCTTGCAAATAACTTGTCTCAAAGTAAATTGTCCAAATGCACAAGAAACTTGTCTCAAAGTAAATTGTCTCAAAGAAAATCCAGTAGCTCCAGAAAGCTGGAATTATGTGCATTAGAGGGTATGAGAGGTGTGTGTGTGTGTGTGTGTCTGTGAGTATGTGTAGTGCTTGGGGGGAGTGCAGGGAATAACTCAACCATTTTGAGACTTACAAAAACACAATGCAAGTGCTTTTTGAAAAGAAAAAAAAAGGCAGCGTAAAATATTTATTTCTTGGCAGAAGTACATCAGACCACATCTCCCATCCTTCTTTTAATTGCTTGGTGTTTGTTTGTGTTGTGTCAGGCTTTGCTGGTTTCCTTTGCAGGGCTCTGTCACCTCACACAACCCCTCTCTCAGCCAGGGCACAGGACAGCTCCAGCTCCTCGGGGGAGCCCTGGGGTGCGAGCAGGGCAGCAAAGGCAGAGCTGTGGTGTTGGGTTAAGGGCAGCACAGTGCAGCGTGGGGGATTTTCAGTTTTCAGCCTCGTCCAGGGAACTCTTTCCTCGTGAGAATCCAAACCACCTCAGCCTGAGGCAACACCCAAACCTCAGCCTCGGGGAGGGTGGCTTGGCCAGAGAGCAGCTTGGAGCGTGTTGGGTGGCACTGGCGTGGGTGTGAGGTGGCCCTGGGCGGTTGGCAGCGTCCTGTGGGCTTTGCCCAGGCTTTGGAGCTGCCCCGTGCAGGGTGGGTGCCCCGAGCTCCTGTCCCAGCCAGGTGCAGACACTGCCAGGTTCCATCAGTCACACACTGCCAGGCTCCCAGGCTTGTCCCCTGCTCCTGAGCCCTTCCGTGTCACCTGGCTGCCCACCTGCACAGCTGCACGTCCCCTCCCCCTGGCTCCACCTGCAGCACTTCCCTGTGCTGTCTTCACCATCTCCGTGCTGCTCCTCGTGCCCTGGGGATGAGCAGGAGTAGCAGAGTGACAGCAGGACCGCGTGTGTAACGTTTGAGAGGCTTTTACTCCATGCTGTTGTTTTAATGAGATGCTTTTAGGGCCCTGCTGAACTGGTATTCTTTAACCTTCACTGCCACAGATACTTTCTCCCCACCCTCTTCACTTCAATCAGATTGGCAAAATACATTTGACTTGAAAACTAAAACAACCCCAAACCCTGCTAATGGGATAAGTTACTCCTCTTTACTGTGCTTTGATTTGATTTCTCAGGATACTCAGAGGTTTTTCACTGCTGCTGAGAGGGGACAGTACACCTTTTTGGAGACTTCAACCACTGTAACAGTTTTCCAGATGTGTGTGTGCGTGTGCGTGTGTGTAACCCAGCACTGTGCGTGCGTGTGTTCTGCTGAATATCGTGTGCATCTCTGAAATGCTTCAAACAACTGCCTGGAAGTCAAAAACCAACCACCTCTTTCCAGTCATATGTTTGCCGTGACTTTTCATAACCACACTTGAAACTAGTGGTCTTGGATGGAAAAATTCAAAGAGCAGGGCATCGTTATAGCAATGGTATATCAGTCGAATTACGGAAAATGTACACAAAAATAAATAAATGAAATTTAAAAGTAATACTCTCTCAGCCTACCTGTGTTTCCCTCAGTGGAAGTGCTACCAGTTGTGTCGGGACACAATTTGGGCTGCTTTTGCCATTCCTATGGCAGGTTTTTGGGGATCCTCTTACTCCCAACAGCTTATCATACATTACTGAAAGCTCGGGAATGCTCAAGCTGCTCGACAGGGATAATTGTCAGCACCACTGCCGCTGGTTTCCCGCTCCCTGCTCGGGCTGGCGGGAGCAGGCGCAGCCACATCCCGTCCAGCCCACATCAAAGGCACGGCCCGCAGAGACGGCAGCAGCGGCTTCCTGCCCCCAGCCCTCCCAAAAATCAGCTTCTGCAGGGGTTCAAGGGGGCACAGCCCCGTGCCCAGCCTCGCTCCGCGGCCGGGCTCAGCTGGGTTGGATGCTCAGCACGGCGGTGTGGCCGAAGGGCTGGATGCAGCTGCTGGGTGCAGAACAGATGTGCTGCTGTGCTGTGCTTCCCCAGGTCCTGCATTCCCCTGCCAGCCCCATCGCTGTTACCTGCATTTCTTTCCAGGGTGACTCTCAGGCCGTGCTTTTGTCCTGATGCGAGGCCAGCGTTCACCCTGAGTTTATCGCCCGAGCCAAACCACTTTGCTGGAGTGAACTGTGTTGGGCTGGTCATGCTGAAACATGAATCGCTGCTTCCCTCCTCCTCGTGTAAATAAAATTATCCTTCCATTTATGTTAGAACTGCAGAAAACAATATCCCAGCTCCCTCTGCTGATCCTGCAGTCCCAGTGAGGGCAAGAGCACTGGCTGCAGAGCTGATGTGCTGCACAGGGAACTCCAGAGAACCAGCTGGGTTAATGAAAAGCTTTGAGGGGCACAGGTTTTAGATGCAGCTTTGTAATGCAATTATTTGGGTTGATGAAATGGCAGATCCTGCTCCCTCTGCCTCCCCTGCCTGTTTTATGTATGAAATGATAAAGTAATTCCACGTTGTCATAACTAATGTCACATGGAAGTGAGGAAGAGAACGGGAAAAGTTGAGTTGTAAGGAAAATCAGTGTTTGTCACCTGGAATAAGCACAGAGGCCTGGGCTGAATGCTTTGGGATTGCAGCAGGAATATAATAACCCAGCAGTGGGAATGCTGGTGATGCAGAGATTGCCATAAAAATGTCTGAAGGGAAGAGCTGCAAAAGGTACAGACCCATTTCTGAGAATCCTAAACTGAACAGCTGCTGAAGTTCTCCCTGCGCTGCACGTGCGTGTGTGTTCTGTTTAAAAGGAAGAAATTAAGAGCCATATTTTTATTTTATCAAATCAAATTACCCCTGTATGCTCAGAATATTTATGCATCAGTGCTTTTTTTTTTATTAGGGCTTTATCTCACTGTAATCAATTCCAAATACTAACCTATTTTTATCGCTGTAATGCAACAGTAATTTATAAGATGTAGATGGAACACACACGAGATGCCAAAAGCAATTTTATGGAGCCTCTTTTGTTGTCATCTACAATGCATCAGCTCTTGCCTTCAGCCTCCCATCAATTTTAAAAGCCCCAAGATGGAAAAAAAATTTCAAAAAAATAAAAAGGAGCAAGTACAGCGAAGCAGCTGCCAAGGCCTGGAATAGCCTGAAATCCGTGTGCATCTTTGGGATGGAGGTTGATTGAACACGGCACAATAATGAAAACCGTGCAGAGCTTTGTAATGCAATTATCTGGGTTGAAAATGGCAAATCCTTTTTCCTCTGCCTCCCCTGCCAGTTCCATGTATGACATTGTGAAGTAATTCCTGCGTTATCCCAACTAACATCACAGGGAAGTGAGAAAAAGAATGGGGAAAGTTGAGGTGCGAGGAAGAGAAGAGGGAAAGTTGGGTCTTGGGGGCTGTACAGAACAGTCCTTCTGCATCTTTCAAGGGAAATACAGGTTGGATATCAGGAAAAAGTGTTTTACAAAAAGGAGATAAAGTTCTGGAGTGGCTGCCCGGGGACGTGGTGGAGTCACCATCCCTGGGTGTGTTTAACAAAGCCTGGATGTGGCACTGGGTGCCAGGGTTTGGTTCAGGTGTTGGGGCTGGGCTGGGCTGTTGGAGTTGGAGGTCTCTTCCAACCTGGTGATTCTGTGAATTCTGTGAATTAATTCTGTGATTCTGTGATCTTCTCTTTTCTTCTCTCCTTTGGAGCCCTCCTGGATGGGCAGCAATATTGTCATCCAAGGTGCAAATATGCCAATGAGCATTCCAGAATCCCCATCCCAATTCCCACACCAACCAGCTTCCACCAAGCTCTTGTGCCCCTGAGGGGCACCTGCAACAGGAGCACCCATGGGTGTGTTCGTGGTTGAGGTTCTCCAAGTCTTTCCAGTCAAGATCTTGCCCATCAGACATTGCTGCTGCTCTCCCAAATTTTTCTGGTGTTACCACTGCAGCACATTTTTGGTTCCAGTTCTGTCTCTCTGGTGCTGGGAGTGGTGGTGAAACCAATAAAATTGTGATTAGACAAGTGGTAATGGCTTCAGACTCACAGAGAACAGGGTTAGATGGGATGTTAGGAAGGAATCCTTCCCTGTGAGGTGATGAGGCCCTGGCACAGGTGCCCAGAGCAGCTGTGGCTGCCCCTGGATCCCTGGAAGTGCCCAAGGCCAGGCTGGACAGGGCTTGGAGCCACGTGGGATAGTGGAAGGTGTCCCTGAACTGGGTGATCTTTAAGGTCCCTCCTAACCCAAACCATTCATTGAGTTTATAAATCTGTGAAGATATTGCAACGTTTTTGAAGCATGCACTGTACCCAAAGGTGATGCAGTTTATTGATGTTAAAGACACAGATGTTTCATTCTTTTTCATTTGCTTGCTGAATCCCACTAATAGACAATTGGGGATTCCAATTGTGGAGGCACCTTCAGACTAAAAGCACATCCCATTTAATACTCAGTGATTGCTTTTAAGGCATGCAGATAAATAGGTCTCTTTCAATAGGCTGCTATTAACCACAGTCACTGGGAATAAATGGAGGAACATTACAGAGCATTGACAAATTATTGATGGCAAACATTACCAAGCCACCTTTGTTGTTTGCCTACCCCTTTCATAGTGGAGGGCTTTTGGGAAATAACAATCAAAGCAGCCCCTCCTGGAGGAATCATTACTAAAGCATTTTGCATGCAGATTACTTCAGGCCTCGGCACAGCGCTCGGCTGGGTCAGGAGAGGAAGGCCAAGATTTGCTGATTGAGATCAGATGGCTGGTGGCGAGAAGGAATCTAGATGACTTAACTGGAGGAATTAGACTCAAGTCTTTTGGCTTCCACTTGGCTGTTTTATAAACTGCACGGCCGGGCCGCGTTCCCCTCAGCGTGTGTGCTGGGGCGGCTCGGGGCACCAGCCAGTGCCTCAGCGCTGGCACGACAGCCCTGCTGGGTGAGAAAGGCAAAGGCAGGGCAGGTGGGAGCTAAAATGAGCCCCTGGAGCTCCAGCACCTCCAGCCAGGCTGAGCCTGCCGCGCTCTCGAACCCTGCCGCAGTTTGGTGGGTGATGCTGCGGGGCAGAGCCGCTGTTCCCAGAGATCCAGTCACTGTTCCCAGAGTTCCAGCCGCTGTTCCCAGAGCTCCAGTCACTGTTCCAGAGCTCAGCCGCTGTTCCCGGAGCTCCAGTCACTGTTCTAGAGCTCAGTCACTGTTCCAGAGCTCAGCCGCTATTCCAGAGCTCAGCCACTGTTCCAGAGCTCCAGTCACTGTTCCCACAGCTCCAGTCACTGTTCCCAGAGCTCAGTCACTGTTCCCAGAGCTCAGTCACTGTTCCCAGAGCTCCAGTCACTGTTCCAGAGCTCCTGTCACTGTTCCCAGAGCTCCAGTCACTGTTCTAGAGCTCAGCCGCTGTTCCAGAGCTCCAGTCACTGTTCCCAGAGCTCAGTCACTGTTCCCAGAGCTCCAGTCACTGTTCTAGAGCTCCAGTCACTGTTCCAGAGCTCCTGTCACTGTTCCCAGAGTTCCAGTCACTGTTCCAGAGCTCAGCCACTGTTCCAGAGCTCAGTCACTGTTCCCAGAGCTCCAGTCACTGTTCCCAGAGCTCAGTCACTGTTCCCAGAGCTCCAGTCACTGTTCCAGAGCTCAGTCACTGTTCCCAGAGCTCAGTCACTGTTCCCAGAGCTCCAGTCACTGTTCCAGAGCTCCAGTCACTGTTCCCAGAGCTCCAGTCATTGTTCCAGAGCTCCAGTCACTGTTCTAGAGCTCAGCCGCTGTTCCAGAGCTCCAGTCACTGTTCCCAGAGCTCAGTCACTGTTCCCAGAGCTCAGTCACTGTTCCAGAGCTCAGCTGCTGTTCCAGAGCTCTAGTCACTGTTCCCAGAGCTCAGTCACTGTTCCCAGAGCTCAGTCACTGTTCCAGAGCTCAGCCGCTGTTCCCAGAGCTCAGTCACTGTTCCCAGAGCTCAGTCACTGTTCCAGAGCTCAGCCGCTGTTCCCAGAGCTCAGTCACTGTTCCCAGAGCTCTAGTCACTGTTCCAGAGCTCAGCCGCTATTCCAGAGCTCAGCCACTGTTCCCACAGCTCCAGCTGCTGTTCCCAGAGCTCTAGTCACTGTTCCCAGAGCTCTAGTCACTGTTCCCAGAGCTCCAGCCCCGTTTCCCTGCCCTGCCCATGGCCTCCAAGGTACCCAAACACAAGCAATGTCCCCAGAGCTGGTGCTGGCTGCAGGGTGAGGAGCCTTCAGAGGGTTTTGTTACGGGCAGTTTGAAGCCTCACCCATTGGATGTATCCCCATGGGAGCAGATGGAGCTTTCTCCTTTCTCTCAGAGCCTAACCTTTAATTTTACAAGGCTGATTGAAACCGAGAGTGGAAATAAAAAGTCAGAGCTGCTCTATTTTCCTTCCCCTCCCTTCCATTATCTTCTTGCTTTTCCATCCATCCTCTTTTCACATGCCTCTCGGATTGCGTCCCCCTGGTTTCCCAGTTATTTATTGACCCAGACCTAATTCCTTATTTCCAGAAATGTGTCATGAATCCTGCCTTTGAGTAATTTGCTTTTTGCTTTCCAGGCTGATCT